AATTTATATGTTTAAAAATATTTATTTATACAAAATTTAAATGTAAATTATATATTTAAATAAAATTTTTATTTTTATATAATTTATTATAAATTAATATTTTAGTCTATACAAAGCATAAATATTTTATTATTTATAATATAATTAAAATTTATAATGTTATATATATATATAAGTATTACGTTTAAATATATAAATTATATTTAAAGTTAGTATGCATAAATATTTTTAAACATATAAAATATATTTTAAATTTATGATAAATAATTTTTATTGTAATAAAAAAATTATTTTTATTTATTAGTAATTTAGTTTAAAATATAAATATTTTATTCATAGATAATTATGATAAATAAAAATAAATTAGAAAAAAGTTAAAAAAAATTATACAAACTCTCTCGTCCAAGAAAAATCCTAAAAGCACTTTAAAACTGTAATAGTTTAACAAGTAAAAAAGTAGACGATATCTTAAGACTCTAACAATACTAACAAACTTTAAGTCAGAATATTAACACTAGAAAAAAAAAATTTAAGTCACTTTTACTTCTTAATTTTGATTGGGGCTTGTTTTGATATATGCCTAATAACTTATAACAAGTTTAGTTTATAAATATTCTATTCCTTTAATTTATTAAAACCCTTTTTTAAAATAAAATCGTAATAGTCCAATTAACATCAAAATAGACGATATATTAAATGTAGTAGATCAAAACACATATATTTCAAATTATTTATAGTATAGTATATAAAAAATATATATATTCTTTTTAAAAGAAAAAAAAATGGGAGGGAGACATGCCCGTCACCCACTCCACTCATGAGAAAGTCTGCCACGAACCTGCCATCCAACCTTTGAGTTTGTTCTATAAATTGAGCTAATGACACAAAGACATTGTATCCTACATATTGTGGCCTTTTCTTTGTTTTTCAAATATCTCTTTTACTCTGTGATACCTCCCACCATCCTCAATGGCACATAATATGCATTCACCCCCCTTTTCACCACCCTACTCTGAGGATGACAAAATCACTAGCTTTGCCACCCTTTCCAATGGCTCTACCCCTATTGTTGGCTTCTTTCCTAACACCAACAACAGTGATAAGCCTTCAGCGTTACTGCCACCAACATCACCATCACCAACACCTTCATCACCTTCCCTTGTTACCCCTAGTGAGCTAGATGTGCTTTTCCATGAACCAGACGAGCAAATGCAACCACAACCTGCTGGGAAGCCCAGAGGGAGGCCACCTGGGTCAAAAAATAAGCCCAAGCCAGCCATGAACCGTCACCAACCCATGCTCTTGACTGTTCCCGCTGGCATGGACATTGTCAATGCCATCATCGATGCCACTCATAACCAAGATGTCACCGTCATGGTGTACCATGCTATGGGTTCCATTTCTGAAGCTACCATTTGCAACCCTCTCGATCGTTCCCGTGATTTTTTCTTCCAGGGAAACTTGTTCATGCGGTCTTTCTCGGGCTTTTACTCCAAGAGTTTTTCACCTTCTCACACCCCTTATTCCTTTTTCACAGCTCAAGTCTCCAGGGCAGGGACTCCCAACATCTTTGGTGGTCGTGTTCGAGGCAAACTTATTGCTGCTAAACCTCTGCAAATTATGGTTTTTTTCATCAAGAAGATCGAGTACTATAAGGCCATGACTCCCTTTATCGATCCAAATGTGACCAAGCCTTATTATAACAACCCCACCAATTGATATGATAATTACTAGGAATAGATGACAAAGTTTCACTTGCAACTTATGTTATCTTCAATAATAATAAAACAAATTGTATCCATGTGCCTCTAGGCAATATTTTCTATAAGATTAATTTTGTATTAAGTTTTTAGAGTTCTGAATTGGGGGGCTTCGATGGCCCTAATGGATCTCTCTATACTAAAAACTCACTTTAACTAGTTTATTTTGTTGTTAGGTTTCTGTATAATTGTCAATGTCTATGCTTTCACTGGTCTTGTTATGTAATCATGCTCCACAGTCCATACTACAATCTTTGTGCTTGCTTATGCTCTGATTGAAAAGTTCTAGCATTACATTAATATATGAGTTAATCACTTATATATTGTCCGTGTAAATATTTTTTTACACGGACAATTAATTATATCTTTTAATTATGTCATGTCACTGGTAAAAGTAAATATGTTTATAATGACATGATATAATTAAAATATATAATTGATTACTAGTGTAAAAAAAATTCACACTGACAATGTACAAGTGATTAACTCTTAATCTATTAAGTCATGGGTATTAAATAATTTAACTCTTTAAAATTGTAAAAGTATTACTTTTAAGTCAAAAGTTATTAAATGATAATATTTTAATGGCTAGCGTTACAAAGTAATAGCTGTTTTAATACTTTAAAAGAAAACATTTAAATAATGATCAAAGTCAAACTAATAATGGAGGAGTTGAAAATAAATCAATTCCTTAATATTAAATTTAAACATTTATTATGTGCATGAGTAATTTTAGAAGTAATTTTTCAATGAGAGGATTTATAAGAGTTTTTTAAATTTCTTATTTAATTTAATTTTTATTTATTATTATTATTTATGAATTAAATATTCATATTTTAAAATAAATTGTTAATGAATAAAAATATTTTTTTTGGTATAATACAAATTATTTATCATAAATCTAAGAAATTATTTATATATTTAAAAATATTTATGTATACTAATTTTAAATATAATTTATATATTTAAATATGATATTTATTTATATATTAATTTATTATAAATTTTAAATGACTTTTATATATTAAACACGAATTTCTAGAACATTTTTAAGATATTTCTTTAACGATAAGGCTTTTTAGAATTTTTTTAGTATCTAATTCAATTTTTATTTATCCTAATTATTTATGAAATTTTAATATTTTAAAATAAATTATCAATAAATAAAAATAATACCGTACTATAATATAAATTATTGATCGTAAATTTTAAATATAATTTATATATTTAAAATCATATATTTATATAAATTTTAAATAGGATTTGTATATTCAAATATAATATTTATTTGTATATTTTATTTATTATAAAATTTAATACATATAATAAATATTTAGCCTATACATTATACATGCTAAAATACTAGTTATTAAAATTTATGGTTAAAATTTATTACAGTCTTAAATATTATATTTTATAAAACTAGTTCATTATTAATTATTTCAAATATAAATATTTAAATTTAAAAGTTGCATTTAAAATTTGTTCTAACTAATATTTTAGTTTGTGCGATGTAAAGGTTAAATATTTATTATATGTATATACTGGTGGAGTTAAAACACTTTGTGTCTCTATATATTTTATTTAAAATAACATACAGAATGCACTTCATATATGTATTGTGTTTTACAAATAAAATAAAATAAAATAATTAAAGTTAAAAATGTAACAGCCCAATTTTCACTAGGCCAAGAGCCCAATTAAGGTGGTTTAGTAGGCCAAAACGGGCCGTTCCAAAATTGGAACGGGCCGTTCCGAATTACTAAATAGACCTACTTTTGGTAGCCCGGAACAAGCCATTTCATAATTGGAACGGGCCGTTCCAAAATACAAAAATTGTCTACAAATTTTAGATGGGAACGGGGCGTTCCCAAATTGAGAACGGGCCGTTCCAGAGTTGAGAACGGGTTGTTCCAAAATATGACCGTTGTGAGTATTAAATGCACCCTAGAACGGGCCGTTCTGGTTTGAGAACGAGCCATTCTGGATGTGATTTTTAGTCGTGAGTTAAGGGTCCAGTACGGGCCGTTCCGGATTTGGAACGAGCCGTTTCGACGAAGCCTGATGCCTATAAATAGAGCACTTTGTCACTCCCAAAAAGGACACCTCTCATTTTCTGAGTTTTTTTCTTCCTTTCTCTCTTCTCTTCTTCTGCACTCTCTAAAGACCGAGGGGAACCTAGCGGATGAGATCAATCAGATCTTTAGTTTCAGCTACTGTTTATCCAGGTACGGGAGAAAAGAGGATTATTTGTATGCAAAGTTACATGAGGGAATTGGGTAGAAGAGGAAGCCCGTAGGATTATGAGTAATTTTATAATTACTTCTGTTTGGAGAATTATTGGTCTTATGTGATTCTGTATATATTTAGGATTATGAATATATATTTAGTTTGTAAGAATGATGATTTGGGAGAAAGAACGAAATTATAGAAAAGTGTTTGTAGGCTAGGTTTTGGAAAAAGGATTATTTCTATTTGAGAAATTGATGATCCCATTAGATTTGGTATATGTTGAGGATGAGAAATATGTATTTAATTTGTAAGAATGATGATTTGGGAGAGAGAACGAAATTGTAGAAAAGTGTCTGTGAGTTAGGTTTTAGAATAATTGAAGATTTTACCGTTTATGTTAAGATTATATTAAATTGCTAATTTTATTGATTATTATATTAATTTATGAATGTTATTGTTATATTATTTGATAAAATTGATGATCTAGGTGAGGATTCATGATGAATTACTTGAGGGGTATGTGAATCACCTTTTTGTGTGGATTGTGTATGTATTGTGGAATTGAGATATGGATGTGAATGTGGATGTGATTGTGGTTCCTCACACTTGTGACCAGAGGTGGCACGACTTTAGGCAAGAAATGCTACAGGCGTGACCTTGGCATAGTATGGGATGGGTGATTCCTCATGCTTATGTCAGGGGTGGCACGACCTCGAGCAAGAGATGTTGCAGGCGTGACCTTGGCACAATGTAGGATGTGTGATTTCTCATGCTTATGTCGGGGGTGGCACGACCTTGGGCAAGAGATGCAACAGGTGTTACCTTGGCATAGGGTGGGATGTGTGAGACAATTAATGCTTATGTCGGGGGTGGCACGACCTCGAGCAAGAGATGCTACAGGCGTGACCTTGGCATATGGTTAATTGCGAGATTTGTGATGGATTGGTGTGATTGTGAATTGTGATGTAAAGATGTTGCGTGATTGATAGAATTAGGATAGATAGAAATGCTTGTAAATACTTTAATAAGTAATGAGTTATGATGAGACGATATTGTGGATTTTTCTTGTGTGCTTTTCATATAGATGCTTTCTTTTCTCACCGTATAATTTGTGGATGTTTTAGGTGAGGAAGATCTGGCTATGAGTGACATCTAGAATGCCAACAGTTGAGTTATGGGTATGCTCTGATATTGTGACATCGGGGCAGAGAACTTTTAGGACATGAAATTTATTTGTAAATGGAGTTATACTTATTATTTTGAAAACATTTTATAACCTCTTATGTTTTATTTTCTAAGTTTCATTTTCAAAATATTTTGGATATCGAAGAATGTTTCTAAAGGTTTTATGTGAACCCTTTTACCAACTTTGAAAGTTTATTTTTCTTAATTTAATTACATTATTACAATGTATGTGTTGATGATTCAGTTAATTGGGAGTTCCTTCAGTACATGATGGAAAGGATGGATTTTCCGTTAAAATGGAGGAAATGGATTGCTGAATGTGTGAGCACTACAAGAATTTTTGTACTATTAAATGGCAGTCCCACTGGTGAGTTTGGGGTTGGCAAGGGACTAAGACAAGGAGATCCGCTTGCTCCATTTCTATTTCTTATAGTTGCTGAGGGCCTTAATGCATTGATGAGCATGTATGAATTGTTTTGAATAGTTATTAATGTGATGTGATGAGAAGTTTGAAAAATAAATATAAGAAGAATTAGATAAAAAAAAAAAGAGAATAAAAAACTAAAATTAAAGAGACATGAGAGAGAAAGAATGTTTTGGAAGTTAATAAATAGAACAATCAACAAAATGTGTATATTATAAAAAAAAACATGTCCCCCTTGATTAATAGTATAAATAACTAAAATTAAAAATAAATTATGTATAAAAATAAATACTATAATTAAATTTATAAATTATATTTAAAAGTTGAATAAATAAATATTTTAAAATATATAAATAGATATTTATATTTATGATAAATAATTTATATTTAGAGAGGTTGATTAAAATGACCGAGATTTTGACTGATATTTTACTAAAACTCTCTATGACTAGTTTGTTTATAAATTATCATATGAAGAGGGTTATAATAATACTGGTATAACTTTTACTAAGTATTAATTACACTATTCAATAATATTATATTAAATATGAATTTTGTAAATCTAACTGTTAGATTGAAAGTTCCTTACTTTTAGGTCATATATACAAAATTTTATATTAATCCAAGATAGTTTGATACTTTATTTTTATAAAACAAAATTGTCGTAATATATTCATTTCAAAATATACTAAAATATGAATACTTTGATTACCTTCAAGTTGTTGTTCAATTTTAACAAAATTTGATATAAACATATAAAGTGATATGAACTTTCAATCTAACGGTTAAATTTACAAAATGCACATTTAATATAAAGTTATTGAGCACTGCAATACTTAATAAAAATTACACTGGTGTTATCATTACCCCCCTCTTGTTATATACGCATGAAATTATGTTTTATTTTACTCTAAAAATGATTAATATAAAACAATTTTGTTACTATTATATTAGTTTTATTCTATAAATAATTAAACAATTACTATATATGTTAATATTTTACATTACAAAATGATGACAAATTTAATGCCTAAAATTATCAAAATTATAATGTTAAACATCCAAAAATCTTATATATTTAAATAATATGCTATAAATTAAATCAATTGATATTCATAATTCTCTAAATTATTAGTGTCCTATTTTTTTTATTTATTGCTTCCAGTATTGATCACACGAGAAAATAAATAAAGGAAAAAATAACTTATTCAATTTCAATATCGTCGTTGAAATTTTTTAGGTTCGTTCCTGGAGTATCCATCGCCGACAACAGTGACTAATCTCCTCGCTACGTTGGAGGCACCTCAAAGGGTGGGATAGCTGACCCCAAGATATTATACTATTCTTCTCTCTCATGTTGGGATATACAATTTAATTCATTAAATTTAATGTTGTTAAAGCAAATTTTTTTTTTTTTAAGAAATACAAATATTACATTCTCTTTATATGCATACACTTTTATCCTTTGAGATATGAACATTATAGCATTACTATCCTATTATATTAAAATATGATTTAAAGTATTTAACTTAATAGCTTAAAAAATATTCATTATAAGATTTAACATACACTTTTAATTAAAATATATGTTGAAATATTTTTAGTACATTATCATTTATTCACTTGAAAAAATATTAAATATATAATTAAATTTAAAGTAACTTATTAAAATAATAAATAAAATAATATTTATAAAATATATTATATACACACTTATGTATATATATATATATATTATATATCAATTTATCTATATATATATAAATATTAAATTTTGTTATAATTGCAATTTATTTAATAATAGATTTGTAATATAAATATATTCATAAAAAAATATATGCTTAATATGCATATTTTAGCATTATATTAATTAAATATAATAAATAATATTTATGAGAAACCACCAATTTAATTAATCATATATTTTTTTAATAACATCAATTAAATAATATCTTAAAACTTATATATTATCTTAATTAATTTAATATATGTAATTAATATTATATAATAAAAATATTATTTTATTTAAATACTTACGAAAATATTACGTTACCTACATTAATTAAATGTTATCTTAATACGTATATATATATATATATTATTTTGATAACTTTAAAAATGTTTTAATGATTTAATTATTTATTTTAAATTTATAAATAATTTTAGAAAAATTGTAATAATTTTAAAAATAATAATTAAATATATAAATTAAGAGATAAATTATTATTTTTTGTACCAAGAAATAAATTGTTAAAGTGTAATATTTGCATATATTATCAGGGAAAGTGATAGATTGATAATGTAATATTTACATCTTTAAAGAAATGTTAGTGTAAAAAATATTTTGATAATAATTTTTTTATGAAACTTTAACAAAAAATTTAAAAATGAATAAAGTGACATACATTGAAATCTATTAAAAGAGAAAATTGAAAATTTTAACATAAGAAACGAGAGGAGTGTAATATTCGCATCTTTTAGATGATGAAAATCTAATTTACTCTAAAAAGAATACAACATTTCAAAAATTATAAATGAATAGGATTATTAAAAATGTTTTTTTTAACCAAATCTCTTGATCTAGTGATTATAAGGCCTACTGTGAGGTATAAGTTAACTTGAAACTCTCAAACTCGATTTTCATCTATATTAAAATAATGTTTGGTTGGTAAAACTTATATTTTACGAATGCAGATTAATCTTTAATTGTTAATTTTTTTCTTCCGTGTTAAAAGTAATACTTAGCCAAAAGAAGTCTAACCCTATAATAGAGCTGTCAAAATGGGTTCAACCCGGTGAGCCAACCCGACCCACCACGGGTTCGAGCCGGGTTGGGTTGAAAAAAAATTAAAAATTTTAGTACCGGCCAATTTTGAACCTGGCTCACTAACAACTCGGCTCACCTGGGTTGAACCCGTAGTGAGCCGGACTAACTCACCAACCCGTAATTAAAAAAAAAAAGCAATTATTGGGCCAAAATGTAGGTAATTAAAAAAAAGAAGTAATTATTGGGCCAAAGTGTAGGTGCAGCCTAACATGAAATAGGGTTTCAATTTCAAAAACCCTAAACCTTAACTTTCAACTTTAGAACAATATCAACGCCGCACCAGTCACAGCCGCAACGCAGCAGCTCCAGCCACCCTCTCACACGACACCGCACCACGGCTGCCACCGAACCACAACTACGACGCGTCGCACCACAACTATCAAGCACCATCGCGTGCGTTGTGAGCCACTGCGTGCATCGCGAGCCACCGCGCACACCACCGCGCGCACCACCGCGCCCACCGCGAGCCACCGCGCACGTCACCACCCCGGGCCACCTCGCACCGCGCACATCGTTTGGGGGCCACCCACTTCCGCTGTCCTGCCACCACCACTTGTGCCACACATCACCCTAGGACACTTACAGTCTCGCACCACCGCGCACCACCCGGCATATTACATTTTTTTTTAATTTGGTGAGCTAACTCGTTTAACCCACCAACTCATGTTGAGCCGGGCCGGGTCCAATTTTTTTTAGCTCACTAATAAATGAGCCGGATTGGTTAGTCCACCAAATGATCAACCCGTGGTGGGCCGGACCGAATTACCTGTTTTGATAGCTCTACCCTATAAGCACATATTAATCCTTAATTATTAGCTTTAAAATAATGTGCAAACCGTATTCAGGAAATTTTTTTATTAGTAATTGTAATTGAAATATATTAAAAATATTAGTGTTATACTATTCATAAATTATATTTTTTAATTTATTAATTAAGTATTACAAAATTTAATACTTAAATGGACTTTTCTTATTAAAAATATGCTAACTAAAATCACTAATATTCAATTTAGAGAATTTTTTTTCTTCTATTTTTGGTATAAATATTTATAAGTAAATAATTATCGAAATATTCAGCCAAAAATGATCTAGTCAGATCAACTTACGCGATGAAAATAGATAAAAAAATTTGGTCTAATTTGCCAAAAAATTATTAAAAAAAACTAAAAAAGGAAAAAATACAAAAAAAAAAGATTTTGTTTTGCATATTTATTTTGAATTACTTTTCTTGTGTATTTTTTTTCTCAATATTTAAAATATCTACATAAATCAATGTACCTAAATAATAAAAAACTCACAAATTACATTTGATTTGATTTGCCATATAACAAATCTTAAATTTGTTGTATAACAAAATAAATATGTAATTATAATAATATTTATAACTCTTATAATAAATTATTTATATAAAAAATTACAAATTATACACACAAAAAATTAAAATGACTTAATTAAATTTACATTTAAAATAATAAATAACATAAAAAAAATAGGCGAATCAACCCACCTTGACCTACCATTTGGTTTGAAGAGTTGATGGGTTAAACAAGGTACGTTAGGGTACCTAACTCAACCCGTCAAATTTTTTACGAATTCTCTCGTCGTGACCCATTTTGTCATTTTTAAGTAAAACTTATGATAATATAATTTTGTTGTTACATATGTTGTAAATATGTTTTATTCTTTCTCAAAAGGAAAGTAAAATAATATACCAAATTTGTCATAAAATTATCAAATATCAACAATTTATTTTTCTAACCATAAAAATATCATTTTTATTCTTGAAATAAACAAAAGTTATTTATATCAATACTCAAATATTATATAGACTTAAATATATTTTTAGTTTTTAAATTTAGGATAATTTTATTTTTAGTCTCTCAAATTTAAAATTAATTTTTTAGTTCATGTAATTTTTAAAAAAATAAATATGTAAAATATCGTTGCACAAAATTTACCCATTTAAATCCGACTAAAACCACATAACTATCTCAATTTGTTACTGTCAAATGTGTTATATATGATCCGAAGGACTAAAACAATATTTTTTAAATTAAAAAATTAAAAAGATTAATTTTAAATTTGTAAAAAAAATAAATTTATTATAAATTTGAGAACTAAAAACATATTAATGTCTATTATAAAATAAAAACATATTTAGTACTTAAAATTATAAAATTTAGAATAACTAACATTGAATAAATTTATATATTTAAATAATTTATAATATTATAGATATAATTTTTTTTTGATATTCATAATTTGAAAAATTAATTAAGTGCGAAAAAAGAATACTGTTGATGTTGTCCATATTAAGGGACGCTCGAGAGCATAAAATGCATTAATTATTCTTTAAAAACTATTTACAACTAAAACAATTATCATTGGTTTATACTTCCTTCTATTAAAAACTAAATTAAAGTTTTCTAACTAAAATCCATTTTTTTTATGTGACTAACTATCTAGTTATTTTTGCTGTTATATATGTGTGTAATTATGATATTATACTAGTTTTTTTTATATAAAAATAATTATAGTATTGATATCTATAATTGTTTTTTTACTTAAAATTCAAACTCAAATTCAAAATTTTAAAGTTTGAGAACCAATTCCTAATATCTATTAGATACAGATTTTTCTCATAACTATGTTAATAAGGATGTTAAAAAGAGAGGATTTATAGAAATAACATATATAAAGTTATGAACTAATTTTAATTTATGTTTGAGAGAAATGTACTTGATTTCACATTTTTTTCTGAACTATTTTCTAAAAAGTAATTTCTATTTATTTAAAAATGTAATAGATTATCATCGAACTCACAAGTCACAAGTCACAAGCCTGGTTGCATAGAATTACAGGGCGCACGGGAGCAGTAAGAAGAGTCGCACACAGAGGATTGGGGCACTCCTCAAATATCTGGTTCTGCATTTCCATTTTGTATTGTCATAAAACCCTAAACCCCGAATTTCACTTGACAGTGTAGGGTTTCTTCCATTTTCTCACCATGCTAACCGCAATCCTCAGAAGAGCTTCTTCCACTCTGTCAAGGCGCGCTTTCCCCGCCGCCTTATTCTCCGCCTCCACCGCCGCCAGCAACAACCTCCGCCCACTCTCCGCCGCCTTCAATTCCAGAACCTTCCACTCGCAACCGGGGCCCTTGAATTTCCGCTCCTCGTTATGTCACCGTGCGGAATACGCCGTTGACGATTTCCCTTACGAAGAAGGGTCCAAAGGGAACGCCGACGAAGGCCTCGAGATCGCGAAGCTCGGCATTTCTCAGGATATTGTCTCTGCTTTGGCCAAGAAAGGCATCGCCAGGCTCTTCCCCATTCAGGTTTGGTTTGCTTCCTAAGGTTTATAACTATGTGTGGCTAATGATTAACGCTGTCTAGTTTAGATGTTTAGTATTTTTGAGCTTTTTTTGTAGAGGGCTGTGCTGGAACCTGCTATGCAAGGTCGTGATATGATTGGTCGAGCTAGAACTGGAACTGGGAAAACCCTTGCTTTTGGGATTCCCATCATGGATAAGATCATTCAGTTTAATGCTAAGCATGGGTTGGTGCTCCTTTTGTTTTTGATTATGAATTGAGTTTTTAACTTGTTTGAAGGGGGACTAGGTTATTGTAATTGATGCTGGTGTGAATGGAAAATATTGATTTGTGTCTTTCATGTGGCAGGCGGGGAAGGGATCCTTTGGCTTTGGTTTTGGCTCCGACCAGAGAGCTTGCGCGGCAGGTTGAAAAGGAGTTCTATGAGGCAGCGCCTAGCTTGGATACAATTTGTGTTTATGGGGGTACGCCCATCTCTAAGCAGATGAGGCAGCTGGATTATGGTGTTGATATTGCCGTGGGGACGCCTGGTCGGATTATTGACCTTCTCAGCAGAGGTGCTCTAAATTTGAAGGAAGTTCAATTTGTTGTTCTTGATGAAGCTGATCAGATGCTTCAAGTGGGCTTTCAGGAAGATGTGGAGAAGATCTTGGAGAGGTTGCCCCCAAAACGTCAGACTCTTATGTTCTCTGCAACCATGCCGTCTTGGATAAAACAGATTACACGCAATTACTTGAATAATCCCCTCACCATTGATCTTGTAAGTATGAAGTACTATTTTAGGCACTAGGAGATTGCCTTTAAGCTGTTGCGATTCTGAGATATCGTTTAGTTAACTGGAATGTGGATCCTCTAAAAAATATAATGAAAAAAATAAACCTAGTAGATTAAGTTGTAGGGCACAAGAGCTTCTTTGAGCAATAAGTTTATAATATCTTAATGTACACATATTGTGTGTATGGTAGTTAACTTTTTATTGGAAACTTATTGGTGCTGTTGTAGGTTGGAGATTCTGATCAGAAGTTGGCAGATGGGATTTCACTGTTCTCCATTGCAACTGATTTGTATGTTAAAGCGGGAATTCTTGCACCTCTAATAACAGTATGCCTTTTGAGACCATCATTTTTTGACTTGATTGCTAGTTCTGATCAATGATTGTTACTGTCATTACTGTTTCATAAGAAGTAGGTTTTTAAAAGTTTTATTACGTTCTTTTTTCTGAAGTTTTTGCTTAAATATATATTTTTAACTAGAGGGTGATCCTGGGTGCAATGGTACCTTTGGGACTTGGAGGTCACAGGTGCAATTCCTGGAAACAGCCTCTCTGCTTGCGGAGGTAAGGCTGTGTACATCTACCTCCTTAGACCCAGCTAGGTAGTAGCCTTGTGCATTGGGTCACCCTTTTTTATATTTTTAATTAGAAAAAGTAGTTAAGGAAACTTATTGCTAGATTTTATTTATTTATTTATTTATTTTTCTTTTGTCTCACTTAAAGATATATCCTATGTTAGGAACATGCAAAAGGAGGGAAGTGTATTGTTTTCACTCAAACAAAACGTGATGCTGATCGGCTATCGAATGCCATGGCAAGAAGTGTTCAATGTGAGGCTTTGCATGGAGACATATCACAAGCTCAGAGGGAAAAAACTCTTGCTGGCTTCAGAAATGGCCATTTTAATGTTTTAGTGGCCACTGATGTTGCCTCACGTGGGCTTGATATCCCTAATGTTGATCTTGTGAGTTTCATTTTACTGTTTTTATTTCTTTGAAGTAGTTGAGTCTTCTGATCTATTGGAATTGTGATGAACACATTTCCTCCATGTTTTTTCTCCATGCTTATTAGTTATTACCTTTTCCTTCTCAACAAATCAGATATATTTTGTTAGTCATGTAAGGGAAAGGTATGCACATGATAACTTGTTTGTCTCTGGCTGATTACTGTTTAGAATGTTGTATAATTTTGACTAGGATTGTGTACATTACCCACTTGCATTTATTTTCATTTGATGTTCTGGCCTAGCATCACCAAATCTTTGGTTTTAACCTAGCTTAATGGTGTTGTGTGATCCATCTAGCCAACCTCAGCTAGTGGGATAAGGCTTTGGTGGTGGTGGTTTTCTGGCCAAGTATGTGGTGTTAACAATTAATAGCTTCTGATATTTATTATGTGTCCTCAGATTTTTTCGAGGAAGTTTGCTTTACAAAACAAATGATGCATCTTCCAAAAGCTGTGCTGTTCTCTTACTGTGTTTTGATGATACTATTAGGTATTACGTTTCCATGTAGTATAAAATATTTGAACATCTGATCCTTCATTATTATGTGTTTTTTGAGCTTTAAATGAAGGCATTTTGCAACAGATGCTCAGTTCTGTACTTTTTAGCAAAGCAGCAATGCTTCAGGTGTATTCTTGCATCAGGCTCTGTTCTGTTCATGGTTCTATATAAATTTGGACCTCACATAGATTTTATTTTGTTGCTTGATGTATTATTGTTGTTTGTTAGTGGTCTTTGACTCTGTCAATGTTCTATGCTTTACTTTGTTTACTATGTCACGTGCATATGCAAATACATTGATCTAGACAATACTATTATCATGTTATTCAATTTTTTGTATGTGAAGTTTTAATTTGGTTTCCTTGTATAGGTAATACATTATGATCTTCCCAATAATTCGGAGATATTTGTTCATCGATCTGGACGAACAGGGCGTGCTGGTAAGAAAGGAACTGCTATTCTTGTATATACAGATGATCAATCCAGGGCTGTTAAGCTAATTGAGCGTGATGTGGGCTGTAGATTTACAGAGGTGATCTCCTAGCATCCTGTCGATTTGTCTATCTTTTTTTTTACTGGGTTTCCTATTAGTTACTTATTTTTTTCTGGTCATTGAAATTGAGGCTACACTATCATTCAGGGCAGGAAATCCTCCAGCCTATAATCCCTTCCTGTCCGTGCACAATGGGATTTGAACTTGTGAAATCCAAGTTATAGCAGTTGATAAAACTTTAGATACTGAAAATCTTAATTTTCTCCAGTACTCCTGTAAATCTAAGCAGCCAGTGAACTACTATCCTGTAGTTATTATTACTTGTTTTTTGATGCTGTGATGATTGCTCTCCATACGTTAATTGCATTATAGTTTAGTATTTTTTATTTATTTATATACTATGATTAATTGATTGTTTTTGTATTCCTATTCTCGTGTTTATCAGCTACCACGGATTGCTGTTGATAGGGCATCAGTGGACACATTTGGCGGTATGGGTGGTGGTGGTGGGCGATTTGGTTCTTTTGGAGGTACAAGGGATCGTGGTAGATATGGTGATACAGGTTTTGGCCGTGGTCTTGGATCTGGCCGCTCTAGCTATGGAAATTCTGGTGAGAGGTTTGGTGGACAGAATTATAACCGTTTTGATGGCCCTGGTTTGAGTCAATCAGGAGGGGGATTTTCAGGTAATTCATCTGGTCGTTTTGGCTCATCTGGTGGCATTGTTTCAGGTCAATCAGGTAGTAGATCCGGTGGATCATCAAGTGGGTTTAAGTTTGGTCGTCAAGATGATTTTGGGGGATTTGGTGGTTCAGATCGTTCAGGTGGTTTTGGAGATCGCGGCTCAGGTCAGCGTAGTGGTTTTGGTGATTCTCGTGGTAGTAATAGAAGACCTTTTTAACTTAAAAAATATAAAAGAATGCACCATCCTTATTTATTGGTGGTTTAGTACTGGTAGAGTTTGCTTCTGTCATTTACTCAAACTTACAGGCAACTTGGCTAATCCTTGTATTACCAAGTATTTCAGAAGGTCATATAGTATATCATAAGAATCAGAAGTTCTACGGGCATTGGATTTTTCTTTTTTGGCACTTCTGGCTCAGCCTCAGCTGTATTATTTTTTGAAACATTAAGAGAAGGAAAGGGAGGGGGCTGTATTCTGCGTGGGTTCCATCATCTGCCTTGAATATTTGTATGGCTCATTACTTCTCTATGGATATTGGATCACATCCTGAAAATGCGTATGCATGGGCAGTTTTGAAGAGACAGCTGTATGGAGTGGTGATTCAATTTATTTAGTGTATGTGTTCCTCAAAGTGGTTAAGGGCAGATAAAGTATCTTAGAAAAGCTGTAGGGTACTTTGCTGTTTTGTTTTTATACTAAAAGATTATGATGCCAGAAAAACTCCTAATATGTAATTTACGTACGAGTATTTTGACTTTAGCCCCCACGCTGGGTTACTTCTGGGGCTTGTTAAAATAATGAAATTCAGGTTGATGAGATCTGCCTTTCCTGTAATTTATATTTTGCCATGCTACAGTTGCTGGAATTCATTGATCCAGAGGGAACAACTTAGTAATGAAATGTTTATTAAAAAAAAAGAAGGAAAAATAGTAACAGGTAGAGGAAGGAGCATCACGAGTATTATGCGTGGAGATAATTAGGAAAAACTTGTGAAAATTAAAGAAAATGGTTGAAGTGAAGGATAAAAGTATCGACTTTAATTATATATTTCAATTTTTTTCCGGTTTATATTTATTTTAAAAAAATCTCTTATTTTTTCTGTTTCTTAAACGAAGGGTAAAAGAAACCTAAGGCTTAGTGGGGGGAGTTTAAATGTTTTGCATGAATTCTTGGGTATTAATATCATTATAACATACAAATAGTTGAGGAATTCCTAAATGTATCACTTAAAACAGTTGGACTCAATCTGTTTAAAAAATATTCCTAACCCTGATGGGGTGGTTCAATATAAATTAACCCTAATTTGACGGGGTTAGTTTAGTTTAGACTGTTAAAAGGAGATTTTAGTTATAGAATTATTTCTTTGAATATTTCCTTCTCTTTTTTTTTTTTGTTGGTAGAGATCAGGCAAGACCTAAAATTAAATTGGCTTAAATGATTTTTTGTCCTTGAAATATATTAGATGTGTGAATTTAATCTCTTAAATTTTACATGAGCGTTTTTAGTTTTTTTAAGTATTATAGCTGTGTAATTTTGATTTTTTAATTTTTAATTGAATAATTTTATTCATTCAAGTATTTTAATTATATGATTTTAGTCTTCTAAATATTATAATTATACAAGTATTTACTTACTAAGTTGCATATAAGACATCTTTAATGAGAGCAACTCATATGAGTTGCTTAAAACATTTCAAAAGTGTGATTAATGATTTTTATTGTGTTATCTCATTGTTAAACAACTCATACTGAGTTATGATATAATGGAAGAAATTCTAAGTAATTTTAATAATTTTGTTTCCTTATAAAGGTCTTGTATGAATTGTGATTAAAAAAATTATTTTTTAATGCTAAGAAACAATTAGTTGATGAAAGAACTTACAAAAATTTTAAGTCTCAAGTAGGATTGCTCCGATAAGAGTTATTTTAAGCAACTAAAATTTTGTTGAAGTATCTCAACAAGCATCTCCCATCGGAGATGCTTAGTAATTTTAATTTTAATAATAATAAATATATTATTTAGTATATATAAAGAAGAATTATAATATATGTAATTTAAATATATATATATATATATATATATATATATATATATATATATGTATATATAATTA